TCCCTCTTTGCTCCCCGGCTGAACTCCTGGGGCTTTTGATTACCGCCCGGAAGATGGCCGGGGGTCCAAAGGATCTTCCCAGGCAAAATGGCCTGGTGCCGGCTGAAGATTTCGGGGCCCCCGGTCAGCAACGCGGGAGAACCGCATGCCCCACGTTGGGCGCCAACTGTTACGGCAAAATCTGGGTGCGAGGCTGCTCTGCCACCCAGCTCATCGGACTAAGTCCGTGGGTCCCTGCGGAGGAAAATGAGCTCAGCCGGAGACAGGAGCAAGCAGCAGAAGATCCAAGTTTATTGCGCAACAGGTTCAAAGCGAGATTGAACCCCGAGGATGGGGCGACATAAACTTTTAAAGTTCCCTCCAAGTCCCAGAATACAGTGCACGAAACGTCATGAATACATTATGGGAAGGTTGGGTTTCATGGATTACATCATGAATATATTACACACGTCATGAATATCTCAGAGAAAGGTGGGGTTACACTAATTAACATTTGAGATAGGGGAGGGGGGAAATATGTAGAGCGAGAGATACCCACAGATAAACATTTATCAAGTACCGGTGGTGGCAGGACAAAGGGCCAGAGATATGCATCGTCTGCCACCTGGTATTGCCCGGAGGAAGGGTTATGAGAAGCGATCTGACAGGATTAAGAAGTTCCTGTGTACGTGCCCTGTCGCTCCGGGGATTATGGAAGTAGGGATCACATCATGGAGTCCAAAGGGAGCTGAGTTGAATGACACCAAGAGCAAAGAAATCGGAGTTATGGTTGATTTTATGTCAATTTCCAAAGGTTTCCTATGCTGTCTGACCTATTCCGTATTGGTGATCAAAAGCGGAAACAAAATGGACACATTGTAGCAAGAATGGAAACATTTTGACAGTTTTACGAGGTCTCTGGTTTCGGATCCATTGTTCTCACAGTGGGGGGCCGTCAGCAGCTTGTCAGGAGGTTAAATGAGGCGTGCAAGAGCTCCCTGAGCTAGCTCCTGCAGGACGAATGCACGGCTGTGATTGGCTAAAGCGGAGCTCAGTATAGTGAATGGGGGATACAATATGATACGGTCGACTCACGTTAGGAATAGGGCGAGAGAAAGGCATAGGAAAGATGGGGCTTATTCCGCCCGCGTGAAGACAGGAAAGAGAGCCTTCTATTTACAAGGCAGGGGTACAGTGTGGTGCCTATGCAATGGTGCGGGGGCTGAGGGTTCGAGGCCGGCTGGGCACTGCAGGGGCCATCGCCTCGGACCCCTTCAGGGAGCGGTGGGGAAGGATGGGTACCCCCCCCGTTCCTTCCGTATCATAGCCTTATTGAAAATTACACTTATTAACTTTGTTAAGTGACTTCCTCGCTTTCCCTTGGTTGAATTTCATTGCATGTCCTTTTAACGGTTTTCCAAATCCCAATTCTTATGAAATTTAACTTAAACATTAGCATCCTTAAATCTTCACATTATGGAATTAAACATATTAATTCATCACTTAACATAAATAAAATCCTCAGCCAATTAAGTATCTGCAAGCTGTTTTCAGTTTAATTTAACATATTTAACTAAATAATCATTAAATTTGATCCACTCTTCCTGATATTCCTCCTCCTTCTGGTCGCGGACTCTTCCGGTTAGGTCAGCTAGCTCCGAAAAATCCATCATCTTCATCTGCCATTCTTCTCTCATTGGTAATTCTTGGGTTTTCCACTTTTTAGCTAACAAAATACAAGCTGCAGTTGGGGCATACAAAAATAATTTAACATCTTTCTTGGGCAATTCCAAACCTGTTATTCCAAGAAGAAAGGCCTCTGGTTTCTTTATAAATGTATATTTCAACATTTTTTTCCAATTCATTATAAATCTTTTCCCAGAAATCTTTCACCTTGGGACAGGTCCACCACACATGCTAAAAGGTTCCTTCCTTTTCTTTACATTTCCAACATAGATTGCCACATATATCTTTGCTAATTTTACAGGAGTCAAATACCATCTGTAGAAAGAAGCTATATAGCACATTTGAAGCACATTTTCCCTTTCAAAGAATTCTGGGCACCATCAGTTTGCTTAGGTTTGCTTGGAATTGTAACTCTGCGGGGTAAATTACAGCGCCCAGAATTATTTGAAGGGGGAAATGTTCTTCAAATGTGCTTTAGAGGTATCGTGAGCCCACAGCCATGAATTCAAATGCCAGTCCACTTGCCTTCTGCATGTGGAATGGAGTGGGGAGCCTTCAACCAATACAGCAAAATGTTTGGGGCTGAACCTCTGAGGGAATTCACCATGACTGGCTCAGAGCTACGTGTAAATGCTGATTACATCCATGTTGCCAAGTGCGTGATTAGGTCAAACATGAAAAAGTGGAATATGTCTTACAACATATTTTTTCCCCTTTTGTGAGCGAAACTGCTGGCAAACTTTTCCCTGTGTCATCAAAATTTGGCGAAGCCACAGGGGCAGCTGGTTCCGGGTTTAAGCGTAAGGGAGCTCTTGGAACATGGGCCCAAAGTTGTAGAAAGATGACCGACCAGAAACAGAACAGAAAAACATCTCCTAAGTAAATTATAATTTCCCCCCATTCTTTTTTAAAGTTTTTGTCCTCTTGGTCCCTGAGCTTTCCACTGCTTCTGAGCTAGGCCAGCCGGGATGGAGCCCAGACGCCCGTACGGAGGCCAAGTGGGGAAAGCTTCTAAGATGAGGTAGGAGAAAATGCTTCCCTCCCATGTCCCTGGCCCTCATGCCTCAGACTGGTGCTATCTTGGTGGGGAGCCAGGCACTTTATTACTATTATTTTTTATTTTTAATGATATTTATTACTTTTCCAACAATTTCAACACAGCATTACACGAAAAAAGAAAAAAAGAACAATACGAATACAATACAAAAACACTACATACAAAACAAAACAAAAACAAACAAAAACAATTTAAAATCACCTCAAACATTTTCAATATCCTATCTTTCATTCGCTTATTTCCATCGACCTCCTCACACCTCCCTTTTTGTATTCCACTTCTATTTATTATTTCAGCAATTCCTTTCCATCTTCCTCTGTTTTCTATCCTATAATTATCTTAACACATTCTTACCTTATTTTTTTCCTTTGATTTTCCATTAATCTATTTATACTTATTTCCTTATAACATTTCTACTAAAGCCATATAACTTCATTCCAACATTCTTCTAACATTCATTAATTTTACCATATTTCTGTAAATAGTCTTTAAACTTTTTCCAGTCTTCTTCCCCCGACTCTTCTCCCTGGTCTCGGATCTTGCCAGTCATTTCCGCCAATTCCATATAGTCCATCAACTTCATCTGCCATTTATCCAGCACTTCAGTGCTTTCAAGAAGCAACCATTCTCTCAGCCAGCAAAAAGCAGCTGGTTCACAACAAAGTTTAGGGGTCTGGCAGGGCAAGTCCACCTCCTTCTTTGGCATCCGTCAATATCTTAAATTTTACTTGTGGCTTCCTGCCCTGCCAGGCAAATCTAGAGACGTCCCTCTGTCACCTCCTGATACAATCCATCCCATCCAAAACTTGCAATGTTTGAAACAAAAGCAACATCCCCGACAACACAGCAACCCTAATTCCCACCACAGCAACTCGGCCCAACAATAACAACTTCAGATTTAACCATATTTCCAAATCCTCCTTCTCTTCAATCCAACGTCCTTCACAGGCACCTTCTGATGTCTTCATTTGCTTTGCAGCGAGAGAACGCAGCAGCATGGGAACCACCTCCCTGAAGGGAATGGAGCCCAGGAAAAGGACAGATGAGTCGCAGGCACAGGGGCAGGGGGAAGGAGGGGGGGGGGCCTTATGAAACACCTAAGAACGGTCTGCTGGATAAGACCAAGAGCTCAACCTTTGCAGCAGTAGCAGCATTGGAGGGGCAGGCACAGCCAACCACATCCCTTACGCAGTAGGCAAACCCAAATGGCCCCAGCCAATCAGCCAAATGGTAAAATTCCTACCAGGCCCCTGCTCCAAAGCAGACAACCCCATGACAGGCATAGCAAGGTCAGCGCAAACCAACCCTAATTAAAGGGAGGGTGTGGCTGCTGGGGGGGGGAGGGAGCTGTAAGGCTGCACAAACCCCCAAGGGACTAAGGAGGCTTTCCCCAGTTCGAGAATTGCTGCAGCATCTTTTGGGACCCCCAACCCAAACCGTGAGGTGAGGGAGTCCTCCGGGCATTTAGCTGCAAAGAGAGAATACCTTTTTAAAAAGACACCGGCACGTGCCAGGCCTTGCAGGGCCTCCATGCCCTCAGCTTCTACAGCGGCTTCCTGTCCCTCATGGGCCTCACCGTGGACCGCTATGTAGCCATCGTGTGGGCACCCGTCGCCCACCGCCTGCACTCCTCCACCACCTGCTGGGGTCAGCTTTGCTCAGGGCTAGTGTGGCTGCTCTCCATGGCTCTGGCACTGCCCCATTTCTTGTATGCCCGTGTAGAGGACTATGGGGGCATTTGCCTCTGCAGGGTGGTGGACGTAACAGCAGCAGTCAGCCTGGCGCAAGTGGCCTTGGGTTTTGCGCTCCCATTCGCAGTCATGGCGGCCTGCTACACAGCGATCGCCTGACTAAGACTAAGGACTCTTGCCTCAGAGGTAATGGGACAGGGAGAAGGAAACACACAAGAAGGGCCTGTGGGATCAGGCCAAGGGCCCGTCTGGTCGAGCCTCCTCTTCTCACAGGCGCCACCCAGATGCCACTGGGAAAGCAGCAAATAGGATTCCAACCCAAGAAGCAGTGCATAGCGTCCAGTTCTCCCCTGCTTCAATGATCCTTTCTTTCTTGCAGGATCTCCTGTCTGCCCTGCTGTGGCTGCTGCCCAAGCCACCATGTAAATGGAACAGGTAAGAGGAAGGGGAAAATTGCATGGGGCAGGGAGAACACCCTACAAGTTGAACGTACGTGTTCATGCTGTGGGTGCGTTTCTGGGAAAAGGCTGACACTAATAAGACGGGTTAGGGACTACGTTGAGGACTACGGGGGGGGGGGTGTTCACCTCTACAGGATGGCGGACATCACAGCGGTTGTCAGCCTGGTGCAAGTGGCCTTGGGTTTTGTGCTCCCATTCACAGTCATAGCGGCCTGCTACACAGCAATCACCTGTGCTCTCCTGGCCTCCCTGTGTGCCCAGTCTCTCAAGGCCCTGCGCTTGATTTTGGCCCTGGTCTTGGTCTTCCTGGCTTTGCAGTTGCCCTATGCACTGCTTACCTCACTGGACATGACCGCTTTGATGGGACACCAGGCGTTGAGCGTCAAAGCCATCCTCCGCCGGGACTTGGCCCTCCTCATCACTAGTGCCTTGGCCTTCTTCTCCCACTTTTCAGCCAAACACCCAGGTGGCCACACTGCAAGTGGACGTTCTGCACCTTCTGAAGTCCATCTGGCAGCCTGCAAGGGAGATGTGACGGGCTTGGATGATGACATGGCGCAGCTCTTAGGGAAATGCAGTGATGCACAATCTCGCCCTGGCCCTCCCTGGCTACCCATAGAATAGAATCCTATTATTATAAATAAAATCCTCATAGATTCTTATTATGTTGGCTCCACAGGCTCTCTTTCCACTTGGTGACCTGTTACTTATTTTAGCACCCTCTTTGGAGGGGTCAGATGAGCTGTTACATCAATACATGGACTGGCATTACTTAACAGCTGGGGGATAAGCTGGCCGGATAAAAACAATTGATTTTGCTAATTCTGGAGACCGGATTGCCCTGATGGTGACATGGTGCAGCTCTCAGGGAAAAGGCAGCAATGCAAAATCTTGCACTGGCGCTCCCTGGCTACTCATACATGAACTGCATCCAAAAAATTAGCCCATCAGCATTTCTTGAACTAGCAGGGATTAGTCCCAGAACCTCTTTTGAAATTCTGGCATTCGTCCCTGGAACAATAATAAAGAACTGAGCACTTCTGAGCATTTACAGAGTATCTTTCCCCAAGAGTTGGGTAAAGATAGCTAGCCATGACCCACCTGAATTTGGAAAGGAAATATTTTATGGGCAGTGGGATGAGTGGAAAAGAATTATTATTATTATTTGGTAGGTCCTCAGCTGTGGTCCCCAGATTATATTTTCTGCTGTGAATATCTGGTTGAGTACAAGGTTGAACCATACGGCCTTTCCATGCCTCTCTTCTCTTAACTCTAAGGCTGCGTATACATCACTCCTTCAAGTCACAACGTCATTCCATTATAATGGCAACCTACACACTCATCGTTCCTAAACATGTTCTAAAAGGTAAAGGGACCCCGACAGTTAAGTCCAGTCAGAATGACTCTGGGGTTGTGGCGCTCATCTCGCTTTACTGACCGAGGGAGCCGACATTTGTCCGCAGACAGTTTTTCCGGGTCATGTGGCCAGCATGACTAAGCCACTTCTGGCGAAACCAGTGCAGCACACGGAAACGCCGTTTACCTTCCCGTTGGAGCAGTACCTATTTATCTACTTGCACTTTGTGCTTTCGAACTGCTAGGTTGGCAGGAGCAGGGACCGAGCGACGGGAGCTCACCCTGTCGCGGGGATTTGAACCGACGACCTTCCAATTGGCAAGCCCTAGGCTCATTTTAAAAAGAATTTCCCAAAGTTTCACGATCTTGCCACTTTGTGGGATGGGTCTGGGGGTACAGCTAAACCTTTAGTCTCAGAGTATATGGCCATAGAATAAATCACAGAATTGTGGAGTTGGAAGCGACCTTGAGGACATCTAGTCCAACCCCCTGCAATGCAGGAATCATTTTGCCCCACATGGGGCTTGAACCCACAACCCGGAGATTAAGGGTCTCGTGCTCTACTGACTGAGCTATCCAGGATGATTGTTCTGTAATGGAGCTCGGCACATGTCCAGGTAAAATTTGTATTGAATATAATCCAAGGCTGGTATTGATAGATCCCCAACACAAATTCAACCCTGCTTCTTGTTCTTCCATAGCCTTCCAAATGACAGGTTTTCATTTAGTTAGTGACAATACACCATAGGATGTAATGCAGATGCTTTCAAAAACTGTATTTTGCTGCCCCCACGTGGCCAGAGCTGGATTCAGCTATTGCGTCCCTTGAATTCAGCTTTCCAAATTGACGCTTCTGAGATTTTGACTCCCTGATCCAAGATGCTATGCTGCTCACCTCAGTGATTTGTTGAAAGCAGGTCGGTGTCCAGCAAGAACGCAGCTTGATAATAACACGTCAGGTCATGCATGTTCTTTTGGCATATTTATAATCCAGGTATTCTCTTCAACAATAATGCATTATCCAGATTTGGGAGGCAACCCAATGGGTCCCAGCACAACTTCCACAACTGCTTGAGGTCCCTCTTCCTTCTGAATCCTTGATCTCTCTTCCCCTCCCTGCTCTCCTGACTTGGCTTCTCACTGTTGATGTTACTTGGATGTCAAGACGGATGAATGATGCAGCGAGAAAACAAAGGTGGCGCAGAATGCCAGCTTGTGGAGGTTAAGGCATCTGCCATGGCTGCACCTAACTCACAGCAAATAAGGATTGAATCTGGGCCCTTCTGTTTGCAAGGGAGACGCTCTAACACGGAGCCACTTTTAAAGGAGGAAGATAGTAGTTAGATTCCCTGTGAGGTGGTGGCATAAGGCATGCCTCTCCCCTATGGCTTCAGTTCCCCCGAAATGTAGGAACTGTCACCTTCACAATAGGTAAAGGTAAAGGGACCCCTGACCATTAGGTCCAGTCGTGGCTCTGGGGTTGCGGTGCTCATCTCGCTTTACTGGCCAAGGGAGCCGGCGTACAGCTTCTGGGTCATGTGGCCAGCATGACTAAGCCACTTCTGGCGAACCAGAGCAGCGCACGGAAACACCATTTACCTTCCTGCCGGAGCGGTACCTATTTATCTACTTTCACTTTGACGTGCTTTCGAACTGCTAGGTTGGCAGGAGCAGGGACCGAGCAATGGGAGCTCACCCCGTCGCGGGGATTCGAAGCGCCGACCTCCCATCGGCAAGTCCTAGGCTCTGTGGTTTAACCCACAGCGAGGGGTGTGTGGGTGTGTAGTTGTTATGAGGCTTCCCTCTACGTACACTCACACCCTTGACATTATGGCTTAGAACACAATTTGATAAAACTGCAAGGTTCTTTTTCTTCTTTTTTAAGTGGAGGAAAACTGTTAACACACCTGAGCTCGCTGGACACATCGCCCAAGGGGAAGTGGGGATGAGCCCCAAAGGTATGGTGGGTACACAGCCTATGGTTTCTTTCTTTCTTTCTTTTTAATTTTATTTTCAATGCATAATTACAATATAAGATTCAAAAATAAAGCATAAATAAGAAAAACCAAAGGAAAAAAAATTAAGAAAAACAATATCAATGACAAAACATACATACATTTTGACTTCCTTCCACGCGTTTCAGACTTCAAATTTCCCATTTATCTTATTTGTTGTGTTATTTTATTTACATATATGTTACTTCTGGTTTTCTGCCTTTTATAGCCGTTTCTTCATTTCACTAACCCTGCAAAAGTCATTCATTACATATCGATATATTTATTCCAGGAGACTTCCGCTGCTGCTTCTGAGCTGGGCCGGCCGAGACGGAGCCAAGATGCCCGTACGGAGGCCAAGTGGGAAGAGCTGCTAAGATCAGGTAAGTGGAAATGCTTCCTTCCCAGGTCCTCCACCCTCATGCGCCAGACTGGTGCTAGCATGGCTGGGAGCCAGGCGCTTGCTGATTGCTCTGTTTTCTTTGCGGGGAGGGAGCCTTTCCCCAACATATACTTTGTTCTGGCCAAATCCCTGGAGAGATGTGACAGCCCTCAGGTACTGGGGCAGAGGGAAGTTAGGGGTCCTTGTGAAACACAGAACACTCTCCCCAACTATGGCTTCCGTAGTTTTTGGCCCATCTAACCCAGACGTTTGAGACACATCTGGGGACTTGTAGGAGAGCTCTAAGAAGTCAGGATTGAACTCTCTCAAGGGGGGAGAAAGCAGAGGAAGGCGGGCCCAGAAAAGATCCGTAAGGGAGCTGTGCAAATGTTTCGGCCTTGTATAATTTTAGAGCCGCGGGACGAAGAAGCCCCCTTGTGCTCTGAAAAATTTAAGGATACAGTTTGCGTTTTTCCCCACTGAGCTCCCAATGGAGTTTATGTGTCGTTTGTTGGTTCCTGAGGCCTGTACCACCATTCCTAGATACTTATACAGTGGTGCCCCGCAAGACGAATGCCTCGCAAGACGAATGCCTCGCAAGACGAAAGAGTTTTCCGTTTTTTGAGTCGTTCCGCAAGACGAATTTCCCTATGGGCTTGCTTCGCAAGACAAAACGTCTTGCGAGTTTGTTTCCTTTTTCTTAAAGCCGCTAAGCCGTTAATAGCCGCTAAGCCGCTAATAGCCATGCTTCGCAAGACGAAAAAACCGCAAGACGAAGAGACTCGCGGAACGGATTAATTCTGTCTTGCAAGGCACCACTGTAGTTTGTGACTTGGAGTCCCCAGCTCCTACGCTTTGGTTTTCCCCCAAAAGCGAGTATCTTAGTCTTTTGATAGTTGATTTTGAGACATTCAGATTCACAGTATGCTGCCAGCTTTCTTAGTGCTCTTTTGAGTCCAATGGGGGTTCTAGATAGAATTACCGCATCATCGGCATATAGCAGGACCGAAATATGCCGATTTGCGAGCTTTGCAGGGTGGGGTTCTGAGTCATTGAGTGCAGATACTAAATTATTTAAATAGAAATTGAATAGTAGAGGGGCCAATAGGCACCCTTACCTGACTCCCACAGCCTATTCTCATATGATGTCCTGCTTCCTCCGCAGAGCCACGCCTCCAGGGATGAGGCTCCAGCTCATGAAGGGCAAGAGAACATCCTGGTGGTTCTGGCTGCCAACCCTCGCACCGCTTCCCCACTGCCCCTTCTCTGTGTGGGCATGGCTCTTTCCTGGCCCTGTTTGGCACAAAAGCAGCAGCCAAAGTTTCCTCCCATTAAAACCACATCTAGAGTTATTTCGGAGAGGGAGGAGACTTTGGCTGCTGATTCTGAGCTAGGCCGGCCGGGATGGAGGGAATAATTTGGGAAATAGATAGTTCCATGTTCGGGCTTCAGTTTAGGCATACAGCTGTCCAGGACCACCTAGATCTCAAACAAGGGCGTGTTGTGCTTATTCTTGCCATCTTCTTCTTCTCTAGAAATGCTGCCCCCAAAACATTAACACCAGAGCTAGGTTGAGAAATCTTATGAAATCTCAAAAGGTGGCAGAAATATATTGCATTTCAGGTTCTTTCTTTGCCTTCTTAGCCCGTATTTCTCTAGGGATGAGGCTTCAGATCCGGCTCCTGGGACGAAGAGCAAGATACCATCCCGGCGGTTCCCAGCTGCAGTGGCGTAGCATGGGGGGTGCAGGGGGGGCCGGCCGCACCGGGCGCAACATCTGGGGTTAGGGCAAATCCACAGGTTAGGGGGCGCAAATCCACGGGTTAGGGGGCGCAAATTACTTGCCTTGCCCCGGGTGCTGACAACCCACGCTACGCCACTGCCCAGCTGAG